ACCTGTTATCAATTATTCGTTTCTATTCTTGAGAATTAGTTGAAGCGTATTTGACAAATTTCCAGATTCGTCTTCTTACATTTTGTTCCTTAGCTTTTCATGTAGAATAGCAAAAGATCTTGCACTAAATATTTAATCTTTAATCTATAATTTAAAGTTTGTACATATTTTTTTTCATGGGTATGACGCTGAATATTTCACAGAAGTCACATGAGTATTCGCCCATGCGATGAGCCATGCGTGAATCGTCTTGCAAATTTTTCCCTCGATGAAATAGCTGGTCGCTATTAATTTAAAAAGAAATTATTACAGATTTCAAGTGGTTTTATACACTTGTTCCTATGAACGATGATTTAGTATAAGTTACTTATTACTGACATAGTATTCAGTAGACATACATAACTCGTAAGGTGGTAACAGCTCGGCTGCATTTACAACTAAGTTCGATAAATTTAGATAATTTACAAAAAAGAGAGTGTGAAGTTTTAACTGTAATATCTTTGTGTTGATAATTTATTGCGTTTGTTAATTTAAATCATTGAAATCATTTCGGTGAACGAATGCACAGGATGTTTCTCATCAAATACTACTATTTCTAGATCTTCAATCATGGATGGTTGACTCGTTTTTTAAATGACTTTTCATCAATCAAACCATTAATTGACAAAGGACAAAGTAAAGCCACGACTTTCGCGACATATGTGTGTCTTCGTTTTTTGCAATATACTAGTCGTGTAAGATTTTTACGATATATTGCATCTCAACATGTATCAACGGTATGTACATAACCTATTTCAACCGATGTTGTTGGTATCAGAAAATGTTGATTTTCATGAATTAGTATGATCTCAATTGTTCCATCGTATTAATTTTTAATCAACGTTTTATTGTATATTTCAGTTGTAAAAGCCTATGCCTTGTGTCAAACTTACAATCAAGATATAAAAGTATATTATCAAAAACTGAAGCAAAGGAGAAGAGGAATTTGCTGTTTGAAGAAGAAAAGAAAAGACAGAGGACTGCGGTGGGGAGAGTTGAAAAGATAGAAGTTAAATATCAATCACCTGTAGAAGAAGTAATGCTTATAATGAACAAATGCATATCAACTCCGACGGATTGTGCGAAACATATTTCTGAAGGTGTATCCAAAGTATCTGCTATTGCTATGGTTGATGGATCACCATGGGATATGAATAGACCTTTATTGTCAAACTGTGAATTAAAGCTGTTGAATTTACTTAGTCCAGAAAACAAAGTAGTGAATACAGCCTTTTGGCGAACTTGTTCTTTCATTTTGGGAGCTGTTGTAGACATAGCCTTTAAACAAGATGTAACAGTTCATCTACACAGCTTCCCGGTACCAGTCATAAAATCAGGTAGTTTTATATACGACGTGTATCTTGATTTGGTTGACTGGAAACCTACGGATCAAGAAATGCGCGCGTTATCTGCTCAGTACGTGAAATTAATAAACATGGAATTGCCTATAGAAAGGATAGAGATTTCGGAAAGTCTAGCACTTGACATGTTCCAGGATAATCCTATTAAAATGACACAAATACCAGATATCGCAAAGACAAATAACAATAAAATTATTTTGTACAGAATTGGTGATTATATAGACATTAGCAAAGGACCTATGATTGGAAATAGTTCGTTAATAGGTCGTTGTACAATTGCTGCTGTCCATAAAATTGAAGAGAAGGAAAATTTGTATAGATTTCAAGGCATGGCGCTCCCCAGGGGAATTGTTTTAAACCAATATGCATACAGCTTGTTGGAGAATCGTGCAAGAAAATTTAACAATACAACGTGGTCGTTCTTTTCGGAGGAAAATAACGAAGTAGAGGACACCAAAATATTTGGTAGGAACTGATTTAATATGTTAAATGTATAATGTAAATAAAAATGTATACTTTCGGTACTTATCGTTGTAATTCGTTGCTTGTACGATATGTTACAATAAAACACATTTATATAAATATTAATTCTTCGCATGTGTATAAAGTATTTTATTATATCTTCTACCAATACCTACTATTAAATATTAATATCCATGCGTGTGTGTACGTATATATACATATGTACACACATATATATTAAAAATTAATATAAGACGTATAATTGTATAGTATCGATATATGTTAATGTTACAAATTGATAATTGATTCATTAATTTTGATATATTAGTGGTGAAAGAAATATAGATATGTATCGAAGAAATATACATATGTATTGAGGTCAGAAATACTTGGAAGTACACGAGTTACGAATGTCAAAGTGGAATGAAATTTAGGAAGATCTGAAAAAGTTAGAACTAAGAGCATAAACTCGTTAGGGACATGAGACATGAAATCAGGTTTAGTTTTTTCTTTGCAGTTGCAGGTCAATGTTTATTAATAATACAATAGTTATTGCGGTACAAAAAAAAAATGAAACAAAATTGAAGGGAGTTAGTAGTACAAGATAATTTTAATGGATTCAATTTATGAGTAACATTCGAGCAACGTGTCAAGAAACTCAATATATTATTTAGTATAGTAGAATACTTCGTCGAATGAATAATGTGCAACTGCATGCATCCTGAACGTTTAGTTAATGACCGCAATGTATATTTCAATTTATGATTTTACTATACATCTTCCACCGTAAACATACGCCGGGGGCTGCGTAATTCCCATACAAAGTTACCGGGTAATCTATTAGCTAACGACGCTGGGCATACAACGTTCATTCGTAAATGTAGTTGCTGATTCCTACAAGTTCTCATCTCGTGAGTTTTGAACTCGTCTGATTTCAGTATCGATCTAGCAGCAAGTGGGGCCAAGTCCGGCGTGCATTTCAGCTCGATCTCGATCACCAGATCGAAAGACGGCGGTCTCTGCATCTGTTGTTCAGTTTCAACCGTCAAATTCGCTGTGTACGCCGTGTGCACAAACTTCGTCTCGTACGCGTATTTATTCATATTCCCGTAATAAAAGAACCGTCCACCATACTCTCCGTATCCCGAGTAAGTGGAAGCTGGCGGAGGTCTCAATGGAAGTGTCAAAGGAATCTGCAAATAAAAGAAAACATTGTTCGAGTTACTTGAGTGATTGAGTTTTGCGGTGTGGAGTGTGTTTTCGACGGTTTGAAAAGATCGTGGCATTTTTGACGTTTCGTGCGTATATGTATATCACGTATATGTATTCGATATGCTACTAAGTTTCTAAAATTTAAAAAGAAAAATCTAGGTAAAAGTTGTTCAACACTTGTCAATCTTAATTTTTAACTTATTAATTTATTGAATTTAATTATTTTTGTTGTTCTTTCCTTATTGCTAAGAAAGACGAATGATCGTAAAGCTACTCGATAAATAAAAAATTGCTGCTGAATGAAATGATCTGCTAATTTTACAAAGATACAACAAAGCTCTTCAAAATTTCTCCGTCTCCATTTTTCTTTATGAATTTTTTTGAACGGCACAACGTTCTGTTTTTCAGTTTTCCTTGTGTATGCATGTAAAGAATAGTTGGCAAGTACCTGTAACAGCAGTTGGTGCTCGTAATGCAAATTCTCGAAGAGATGTTCGTTCACGCTGCCCACTAGACGTCGTAATCGAAGGTACATGAAGCGTTGTTCGTCTCTCCAAGAATTCTCGTCGATTTTTCTGAAAACGTCCAGGCAAGTGAACCAGGCGCGTTTCATCGTGTATCTCAACTTCATGCTGACGATTCTCCCGGTATTTCGTTTATTAGTCGAGACTTTGAAGAGGAGTACTTGTCGACCTTCTACGAGACAGTCTAGAACGTCTACGATCTTGCATCCGGAAATCAGGGCCGATCTGCTAGTATTATTATTTTGACATTTCAACACGCAAATATATACGTACGAAAAACACGAAAAATTTTGAATTTTAATCGGAATTTTATCTCGTTCGCTGTATAAACGTAATATGTATATTTTACATCTCGATAATTAATTTTTCTGATCTTTAGAGAGCTCGTTCAAAGGACGATTGGTAAAATTGTGACATTTAAAGGAATTAATTGCTGAAAAAAAAAAAAAGAAGAAGAAGAAGACGAGTGAATTTTTCAAGTGAAACAGCTCATGGGTATCACAGTTGTCATTCCTTTAGAAAGCGATTCACCTGTTCACCCTGCGTTCCGAGATCTTTTCGAAAAAGTTCATGAATCGTTTGCAGATGGCTATGAAGGACGAGACGCTCGATTCTGGTGAACGAGGGCCGACGATGGACGGATGATACTTGGATACACGACTGAGAAGCTCGTTCAGATTGTCGAGCAGACTACCGGCGTAGAAACAAAGCCTTGGGAACTTTTGCTGCTTCATCGGAGGATGCGTGTACCTCCAAGTCACGGCTCGTAGCATTTTGTACTGTGCTTTGATCAATTCCAGAGCGTTTAAAGCTCTGCTACAGACCAATAATTCGGTGTCTGTCTTTGCAGATTTCATGGCGCTCTCGTTCCGCTTCGTCATGCTCTCCAGCTTCGTGCAAGCCGCGATGAAGGCGCCGTTTAACACTGCCGCTGCCACCATTGAGCAATGTCTAACACGAACGAAAGTGATTTTCAATGTGTTTTCAAAATGAAACGACCGAATTTTGAAAATTGGAATCTTTTGGATACGGAATATTGTATGTGATACATACGCAAGTAATTTAGAAGCTTAAGGAGAACACCAGAGATACAGAGAGCAAATTGACCAAGATCATTTTTGAAGAAATAACAAACATATACATACATATATCAAAGCTGAGGAATTTTAAAGAGACTTGAAATTGGTTCTTTAGGCTTTTGAATGATTGACACGTCAAAATTTATGCTTGAACATTGTGTGTTAAATTTGCGTTTAAATGAAGATCTTATTGATTGAAATTTAATCGACATAATCAGAATGTGATTACTGAAACTTCTGAATGTCCAGGAAATATTGAAAGCATACTTCATTGTTAGCCTCTTAATTTATTTTTTAAGGGACAGCAATAGGTTCGTTTAAGAATTCCAGAAAGTACAGAGCTTATAATTCTTATAAAATTTTGAACCATGAAATATCGAATTCATACATAAATATTGTTTGCAATGGTTAACTTAGGAAATCACCTAGAAACCAAACGCACAGAAGTAGCAACATCATGAAGAGGCAGCAACCGAAAAATCATCTCCAGAACTTCCGGCGGAAGCGTGTCCAATGCATAGCCATGGCAACTCTGCTCTGTTAGTGGTGTTTTTTCTGAATCCTTTTGCAGTTCCTGGTATTGATCGCATTTCGTAATTGGTATTTTCGGTCGCTTGTTCACGTTCATTTAAAAATGAAAGACTAATCATGTAGAATATATAAAGTGTGAAACAAAATGTTTCTTCTGATATTGATGCTGCTCTTCTTTTCTTCTGCTGGCTCTTTTTGCTTTTTCTCTGTCACGTCGTTAATGATCTGTGGAATTAATCATGTGTTTCTCGCGTTACAACATTACTCTTTTTCTTTTTTTCTTTTTTTTTTTTTCTTGCTGATTAAATCTCTCTGATTACCTCTGGGTAAAAATTTAATAAAATTAAAAATGTCAGACAAGGCGAAACAAAACAAGCGATAAGTAGATCTCGTTTTCAATCGAGTTCTTCTTCTTTCGACAATTGTTTCACAATTTTTATATACACAGGGTGTTTCAACTTTTGTACAGTTCGCGGTAGTGAAAAGCATGATAATGATTTCTTGCAATCGATTTATTAGAATCGTTTTGTATGTACATTTTGTTGTACGCTATTTTGCAGTCAAGATTGTCTGTGTGATTTAAATGTCGGTCCGAGAAGTAAGAAAATGATAAAAAGCACAGCTCTGGTTGATAGAATCGATAAACTATAGATAGAAATTTAAGATTACATTACATTATAATCAAATTATATACAACAATGGTTTTTCGAGTATAAAATAATAATTTAACAATCTTCTTATTACGAGAGAACAGCATCAGCCCCTTCGGTCAGTTTTTTCCGCTAGAAATTTTCTCGAGATTTATTTCCAACTTTACTCTTTTGTTCCACTAAAGGGATCTAACATTTTCCAATTAATTATCCGTACGATCGAAAATTTTACATCACTAAAATTTTCATACCGGGTTGGACCAAAATTTGTTGACGTTCAAGATGAAACTGTAGAACAAATGAAAGGATAGATTAAGAAATTGCAAAGTAATAAAAATTGCAAAAACAATTACACATTTATCTAATCAGGTTGCATTGTTTTAGGGGGAAATCAAGTTGACGACTCTAAACAGAGAAATTAACAGGCATCAAAAGTGTGAATTTGGTCTGGTCCACCGGCAACTCTTCCGACACGCATGGACTGATGCTGTCCAACAGCGTTTGAATCGCGTTCTGATTAGTAGGATGCTTTCTCTTAGTATGTTCTCTCCTGTGCTTCAGTTCTTTAAACGTTTTCCCGCATTGTTCACAGACGTAAGGTCGCGCTGCTTCGTGAGACCTCATGTGGCCCTCATAGTGGCTCTTCCTGACGAATTTCTTACCACACTGATGGCAATCGAATTGGAAACGGCCTTCGTGAGCTGCCACGTGGGAACTCAACGTCCATTTGGTCTTGAATGTCTTGGAACAGTAATCACATCTTATCTTGGACGCTGCATTTATATTATTTTTCCCTGGTTGCGCGACCCTTCGTGGATTCTTGTTCAAAAGTAACATCTCCTCGAGCAGGAAATCGTCTTCTTTGTCCGGCTGCTGTTTCTCACTTTTTTCCAGTGCTGTCTGAGCTTCCAACATGTTCGCTGTATGTTGCTTCATGTGTTCTTGTAATTCTTCTTCATTCCGGGAACAAGTTCCACACAGAGCACACACATTCTTATCTGGAATCTGTTGAATGAATTGATGGACAAAACATGAGAGACAGATCTGGTATAATACACGAATCAAGTATAGAAGTGATTGATAAAGATGGGTATTACGTGAGAGAATCTCATTGATTAGCATAAATTGCTATCTATTATTTTATTACCATTAGAAATATTTCCAACTGAAGGTTAATCTATGTATATTAGGAAGAATCTAATTGATTATTACAAGATGCTATTTATTACTTTGCTATTGTATAAATAGTAGTATGACGCTTGATAGAATAATTATTGACGATCCGAATGGGATTTCAATTAATGTGTTTTGTGATAAACAATTTGAATTTATTTTTAAGCGTGACTTCCAATTATTAATTTGCCGTTGATTTATACATTTGGTGATATGTAAAGTATACATTTGATAAAACTTAAAGCTCAAGTTTTCGGAGGATGGTACATTTTGATGTATCTTTGTATCCATTCGCAGTGAGACACAACTCTAACATACCTTTTCATGAGAGTTCATATGAGCCTTGAGCTTGATCTCACTGGTGTATTTCTTCTTGCAATGTAAACAGGAGTAAGATTTGCTCTCACGTGATTCATCATTCCAAACCACATGTTGCCTATCAATGATTCCATTTGTTACATTCTCGTTGCTTTCTTTCCCACCTTGCTGTTGTTTGTTGATCACAGCACAATTTTCGTAATCAGACAGCTTCTCTTTCCTCATTTCATGACGAGCAATATGTCGTTTCAGGTCGTGGGCTCTGGAGAAGGCTCTCCCGTACCTAGTGCAACCAGGATAAGGACATCCCTTGGTTTTATCATTCCTCGGCCGAGGATTTACATTATTAGGGGACTGTTTGACATCCTTGGTACAATCTTTGCAAGATTTCTCAATTTTCTGGCTGGTAACCGTGGCCAACTGGGCTGATAATGGAATCACAATAGAGATGGTTTCGTTGGTCCCTGGATTCACTATAGGACCAACATGGATGGCTGGAGGTGTCGTCAGCGATATGCCATTTTCATTGTTCTTATTCATCATTGAATACTGAAATGACAGAAAAAGAAGAAGAAAATTTTCACAATTTGTTTTGTGTCATAGGAATTGAAGATCATAGAGAGACTTGTCTTGTTAAGATTTTTAAAAATAACTGACAAGTTGATTTTTGTATAACGTACGTAATGTTTCAATATATCCACGATGTTTGAAAAATTTAATCATATTAAATTTGTTTGCATCGAACGAAATCGATATCGATATAGAAAAAGTAGTCGTATGACAATGCAAAAAAAAAAAATTGTGAAAGACAGATATTTATGCTCTTCCGTTTTCAATTTCCACATGGGAAATTGATCGCTATAACATGATGAATTCAGATTTGTTCTTCGCATTGTCTTGTACAGGGTGTTTCAATAATTATCATCACGTTTCAACAAAATAAAAGATCGCTGAAATAAAAGGAAAATGGAAGGAAAATTTGCGTCTATTAAGATCACCTGTAGCTTGTACGTTAGGTAAAACCTTTATGAAACCATTCTTCATACGCTGCAAAATTAATCGAATAATGTTACTTCAATCATTGCAGTTTGTCAAAAAATTCTGACGATTGACCACGATGGTTGCACCACTCTGTACATGCAACGTAATATTCATTGGCCAAAAAAATCGACTTGTC